GCGGGTCCATGGTGTGAGGGTTAGAGTTCGAAGGCTTCAAAGTGAATAGGGATATAGGGGTTATATAATAAGTATATATAAGGGTTATATATGGTGATGGGATTAAGGGTCCCTATTAGGGGTCCCTCCTAAAGTCCCTAGATTCAAAGTGAATATCCCCATGCTGGAGTGTGAAGCCTTTGACTTCTATTCTACAGTGCCTCTATACTCACACCAGCTGAAACTTCCAAGCCCTCAACCGCAACATCTCAAGCCGCATGCCCCTTCTGCTGACAGGAGCCAAGAGGTATAGTATTGACACGAGTAGCAGCTATAGCACTTCTCAGAGTAGTGCTGGGAATATTCGCGGCGAGATCCGTAGCTGTGGCAGGGGTGATGAGCCGCAGCCAGCTTGTCCGCCTGATCTCGGCCTTGCTCCCTGGCTGAGATGGGAAAGACTGTAATAGTAATAGTAATAGTAATAGCAAGAATAATAGTAATAGTAATAATAGTAGTAATAGTAATAGTCATAGTAATAGTAATAGTAATAGTAATAATAATAGTAATAGTAATAGTCATAGTCATAGTAATAGTAATAGTAATAGTAATCTTGTAGTCTTTCATACTTGAGGAGGTCAAGCAGTCCAGTAGTAGAAATGATGCATACCCTGCTGCTTGAGCTTAGAGAAAGCTTGTGGAAAGATTAAACCTCAAACGCAAAGGTTCTGACGAGCCGTGTGAACTCTGCAGCCAAAAGCCTGACCTACAAAAACCCACAATAAAACCTAAGCCCTAAACCCTAAATAGTAGTTTCCATTTTCTTTTCCATTATCTCTATATAACCCCTATATTAGCCTATATACTCCCTAAATCCCCCCAAACCCTAATGGTCAAGGTTGCCAGAGCTCAGTGACACGGCGGTGGACAAGCAGCCTGGCAGGGAAGGCTCTCAGGTGTCCAGACCCAGCGTGGTCGTGGCGGTAGTATTGAGGCGATGCTGTACTAATGATTGTAATAAGTCTAAGGGTTACAAAAATGATCATGATGAGTTATATGGGGTTAATGGAACTAAAAATAAAAACTATTATAGTATATTGGGGTATAACAAAAAGGATGATGGATAATGCCATGGAAACTACTATAGTATGTATGTGTTATATGGAGTTAATGGAAAATAACATGGAAACATTGTGGCTATACAAATGGCAAGGCTGGTGCGACCAACGATCTGCCTACAAGTTGCAAGGTCTTTGTGACAGTTCTGGGCATAGTCTCTAAACTGCGGGGCCAGCGATCTCGACCACTCGATGCGCAGACGCCATGCTTCCCAAGTATATTTTCACAGGGTCTAGTATCCCCCTTATTAACCCCTATAGTGGAGAATCAAATGGAAAAGAGCATGGAAAATGAAATGGAAACTGGGATTACTGGGGGATTACAGGGGATCCCTATCCTCGACTTCGTCCTCCTTTTTTGATGTCGCTGGGGTACTGTTCAAGATGGTAAGAAATGTGATATGATTCTTCATTGATATTGATCTGTAATTATGTTCGTAATAATAATAGTCGTAGTCAAAAGAAGAACAAGAAACCAGGAGATAGTGTTGCATTTTTGCAAGGGCAGTGGGGGCACAGGACTGTCCTCGTAGTCGTATGACATAGGTTTAGGGTCTACGGTCTATGAGCCGCAGACGACAGAGCATCATGTGCAGTCATAGCCAGTAGTAATATTTATCGTTTTAAGGACAGTATTTGTGTTGTTATTGTCATGTTCTTCTCATACCTAGAGGTGCTAGGACACGAGGTGCAGAAGAGGTTGTAGGGGCGCAGATCCTGACCAGATCCAACAGTGGCCCACAGCATCAGAGGCAGCACCAACAACGATTAGAATCTTGATATCTCAAGCGCTTAAGCCTGGCCCCTGCTTCCTACTGGGCTGCCGGAACTTAAGTTAAGTTACTACAATTATCATGGTTCCCTTAGTATGGTACCTTGAATTAAGTTACCATATTTCAATTAAGATGGTTCCCCTAGTACGGTAGCTGAGATCAGCCCAAGGCTTGTGCATGCCAGCAAACCTGCTGACGGAGCCTCTCGGCAGCAGATTCAGAGCAGTTTATAGGGCTTATATAGGGGAGAAATAGGTTAGGGATATTACATCCAATAATGGAGATTGAAATGGCAAAGCAAAAATGGAAAATTAAATGGACACCCTAGGTCCCTGCTCTTTTTGTAGGAGTGGTAAAGGTCAAAAGCTGAAAGATGATGCAGCATCGGGAGTCCCCTACAATCCGCCTATACAGAGTTGCGGAGTTCTCGGCCATTGGGCCTGCAAAAGTCTACCAGAAGCTCTCAGAGCCCTTGAGAAGGCTGCTTATACCGACGACCAACAGGTACAATCGCAGCCTCATGAGTTAATTCTGTATTTGAAGTCCGCCAGCTGCAACTTGAAGCAGTCAAAAGCAAGTGGTTTTTGTGCTTTGAGCCATCAGGAACCCGCCTTCAGGAGGTTCCAGCTACTGTTGTGCAATTCTTGCCCCGAGAGTCAAGGGCAAGGGTTTTGTTGACACGCCCTCATTCGCGCATGTGTGTGGGGCCTAGGGCTTAGATCACCGTCACAAGAGGTATCTGAGGAGGTTACCGTAGTTATTCCAGTCCAAGCCGAACGTGGCAAAAGCTCCAACAGAGCGTTGGGGTCGGGCTTGTGCAGGCGTGCTCAAAGCCCTGCTGCAAAGCTTCACAGCTATGGATTGCCTCAGAGGGTGCCGTAGGGCCGGTCCGCAACAGGCGACCGTCAGCTACCAGCACTTCATCAGTTGGCTCTTCAGTGGATCGCCGCTGCGCAGCAGCCGCCCAGCTGAAGCTGTTCAGGGTGCGGGATTCAGAGCTTGCAGACGTGACCTTGGTGTGCAAGACGGTGGGCCGAAGTTTTGAAGTAGGCTTAAAATCGGCTTTGGAAGATTCAGAGTTGATCCTTGTCTACCTCTGAAAGAGCACACAACTCTGTGGTTTGTTCTGTTCTTGGACTGGGGTTCACCTTGCCTTTATTTGGACACAAGCTACGATGGCCTGCAAAACTGACAGCCCAAATTGTCGCGGCTTCTGCCACTTAGCTTGGAAGACCGCAAAAATTGGAATGCGCCCAAGCTCCTGTTCAGTATATAGGGGCATAATATAGGGATAATGGAAAAGAAAATGGAAACTACTATAGTACATTGGGGTACAATCTTTCACAGTTAAGCAGGATGCGGGGTGTGCTGCATTGCGCTCCTGGCGACAATCGGATGGAAAGACGGCAGCTTCCCCCTAAAGACTCGGCCCACACTCCTAGCACTCCAGACTGCGCGACTTCAGGGTCCCCAAGCAACCCCAGCACATTGCAGTCCCTGCTGTAAGAACTCAAAGAACAGCAGCCATTGCTTGGATCGTCCAGCAATGCTGACATGAGAGGTATGGGGACGATCAGCGTGATGACTTGGAATGTAGCTGCAGCATCTCGTCCGAGTCTGATAGCATTTCCATGGCAATACCAGGGGCGCTTCCTTGGTAGCTTCCCAAATTTGGGGGGGACCCCATCATAATTCCCAATATACTATAATCCTCATTCTGGGGACGCCCAATAACGTGCCCCCAATGTTCGGAAATCCCCGCTTCCCCAGAGTATCGTCGTAGTCCCATTGCAGGGACATTAGCTCTGGCACCGCCTGACTGCTTGTGAGTTGCGCCACATTGAGGAATGGGCTGCTGTGTATATGGTAGTTTCCCAAAATAAGGGGCCCCCAATTATTCTAAGGATTTTGGGCCCCCAAATATTCTCATCCTTATTGTAGAGACCCCCCATAAAGGGTACCCCCAATTTTGAGAACCCCCATATGTTCCAGAGCTCCTTTTTTCTTTCTTTTTCGGATTCAAGCAATGAGGAGCAGGACTGTACGATCTGAGCTTCTAAGGAACTCAGGTCAGTTTCCTGGGGACAAAAAACTGGCCTTTGCAACAAAAGTGCTTAGAAGTTTCAAGTACGTATAGTCCCCCTGAAGTAGATCGAATATGGCCTTGGTATATGATAGCAAGATCCCCATGTACCCCACATTCTATCTACTTTAGGCGGACTATAACCTCTGAGAGCTTGAACGCCAAGCAGCAGAACGCCCCAGCTTCGGCTGGACAGCGCCAGCCTGCGCAGTTTCCATTTTATTTTCCGTCATCCCTATATTGTACCCCGACATACATAGCAGTTTCCAGTTTATGCTATTATCCGTATGTTATACCCCAAAACATATTATAGTAGTTTCCATTTCATTCTCCATTATCCCTGAATTATACCCCAACGTACTATAGTAGTTTCCATTTAATGTTCCATTACGCCTATATTATACCCCAATATACTATAGTAGTTTTCAGTTTATGTTCCACTATCACTATATGATACTCTATATACTGAAGCAAGCGAGTGCTTGGTTGTTGATGTCTTTCATCGGTCGTGCTTCGGCTGATTCTCAAAGGTCAACAACAACCCCTTCGAGTACTGGTTGGAGTATGACGACAGTAGCTGCTGGGACGCTCCAGGTTTTGGGAACATTCTTGGTGCCATCCTTCCGATACAGCTCAGAAAATTCAAGCTTCGAGTCAGTGCGGAAGCGCCCGGAGGATTGTAATCTGGGGCTAAGTTATGATGGGTTCTCGGGCTTCCGTTGGGAACTTCGCTATGACTTTTTGGCTTTGACCTATGGGATGTTCGTGAGGCAGTCACTCGGGCAAGCCTTCAGACGCTGAAGCTGTCAAACACGTTTGGATTGGTTTGGTGGTGTGTTGCTCTCCAGAACTTGTGATTGACGCCAGCACAACGCCGTCGGTGGGCCCTGTAGCAAGTCTTGTGCACCGGTGAGCCTGGCAAAACTGAATCTGCAAGCGAGAATGTCGGAAAACCTATTATATAGAACTTAGGGAGAGGGTCCCTGCATCTTCTAGCCCGGAGCAAGCTAAGGCCAAGGCCTCAGACCCTAGAAACTTGAGTAAGCGCAGGCTACATGGAGCTCATGGTTGGTGTGGAGACCATCTTGGCTTCGCCCGGGGAAGTGGATGTCTCAGTGAGCAACTTGGCGACCACTGCGAGCTCAGAAGAAGTTTCCTTGCCTCACGGGGCGCGGGGGTCGACCGCTTATAGGATCTTCTGAAATCCTTTCCCAAGCCTTCCCCAGAAGTTTGTTGTGAGCAGTGAATGAGGTTTTCAGCTGACCGGGGAATCTTTAACCCCACAGCTTTCTTTCCAAAGCACCATACCTGCATGTTCAAGCTGCAAGGCGAGATCTTCACGGATGCCATGTTCCAAGAGCTGCAGGCAAAAAACATGCTGTTGCAGTTTGCAACCAGATCCTTCGACCTTTGCGATCCCAGAGTTTAGCTCACTTGAGCTATAGTCTAAGCTCCTTAAAAGGGGTTCTGTAGGGGAGTATAGGGGTTATGGGGATTATTAAGGGGGATACTAGGCGTTTAGACTATAGCTCTGTCACCAGTTTGTAGGCCAGTCATTGATGATCTGAGATCATTTGCAGCGCCTTAAACAACTTACTGGCGCTCCTGGGTGAGTCGGGGAGCGCATCCCTACAATAGAATCCCTACATAATCCCCATATATAGCCCTGTAACTATATTCACTCCCGCGCTTCCATGAAGCACCTATAATACTCCCCCTATAGAACGCCGAACCCCATTTAAGGAGTCTAGACCCTAAACCCTAAACCCTAAATCGTCCTACATAACCCCTTGTAAGGAGTTTAGACTCTGGTTTAGCTGGGGCCTTGACATTCACCCCAGCAAGCCATCACAAGGAGGGCCTATCTCACTTGAGCTATAGTCTAAACTCCTTAAAGTGGGTTCTAGAAGGCAATTTAGGGTCTCAACACCTAAAAAAGAGGGTTGTATGGGGGATTATTTAGAGGAGTATTACAGGGGTTATTAAGGGGGGATACCGGGAGTTGAGATTATAGCTCCCTTGATGCCAGTGATTTTGAAATGCCTCCAAGAAATTTGAACCTACCTTGGGCCCCAGGAAATCCCATATCCCCAAACCCTAAACTCTAAACTAGCACTTTCCATTTTTTTCCATTATACCCATATTGGGGGTTCCCCTACTTTGGGAAATTACGAAACAGCCCAAGCCCCAGTTTCCACCCTAAACCCTAAACCCTAAACCCCTAAACCCTAAACCCTAAACCCTAAGCCCTAAACCCCTAAACCCTAAACCCCTAAACCCTAAGCCCCAAGCCTTTTAAGAGATCTGCCACAGCCTCAGCCTGTGCCTGGGACCAGGCGCTGATGAGGCAGCAGGGCATCCCAGGAGTGGAGGAGGTGGAGGCCCCTTCTGAGGGGGGGTTATGGGGATGATTTGAGGTTTAGGGTTTAGGGTATATGGCCTTAAGGGTTTAGGGTCCTTTTTAGGGGGTGCCTCTTAACATCGGAGGATCCAGAAGTGTTACAGGGGGCTTCTTGAGGTTTGTAGAAGATTTGGTCAATGGAGGCGTAGATGTCATTCCTGGCCTTGTCGAAGTCCGCTCATGTTTATGCACGGCGGCAAGCTCCAAGTGAGCCCTGATCGAAGATGGATGCCTGTCCAGCTTGGGCCCCCAGACAAGAGCGTAGCCTTTTTAGACTTGGTATTTGGGTGCAAACTTCTGGGATGTAATGCTGCAGGGGCTGCTGTCAAGCATGATCTGCGGTAGGAACAACCAGGCGTTGGGCAATTCCACGTCTGGCCATGGATGCAAATCTCCCATGCGCGTAGTACTCGACCATCACAAGAACCATACAGGCCATAGGCCATGATGGCAGCAGCGGTAAGTCCGTTTCACAATGATGTACAGCGGAATCAATCATTGTAGACCCCTCATCACGGCCAAAGCATTTTGGCTCTGTCCCCTTTAACCCAAGTCCAGGAATACAAGGTTCCTCCGCAGCCTCACTGCTTCCTGAGACCCAGCTCCCCTCACAACCCCAATGCTGTCAAGCTTCAGCCAGGAGCGTATGTGGCGGTCGGGTGATCTGCGGCTTCGGGACAGAAAGATTGCCCCTCGGCTGGAAGATGTCACCAAAGGCCAGATGTACCTTCTTGATGCCGCCTTGTGATGCAGAGATCTTCGAAGAGAGGTTCAACCATCTATGTGCGCTTTGACTCTTTTTTTTTAATTTTTTTTTTCCGGTATCTTTCTGTTGTCGACCATCAGGCTAGACTTGCTGAAGGCATTAATTGTATCTTACAACGTGAAATAGCCGTAGCTTGAGGTCCCTTCAGCCCTTCTCCAGGTCTCCGGCTTCATCAAGGATCGCTCCCTGGGCTCCAAGCGCCTCATTTCCATGCCTGACCGAATCACGAACACGCATCTTGGCTTGCGAGTGGTCTGGGAGTTTGGGCTTTGGGACTTAGGGAATTCGGGATGTCCTGCGGACTGTTTGGGAAGGAGGAACCGGTGACGACAACGTCTTGGCTCTGTGGCATTTACAGGTATGGTGGTCACGATGCTTCCCTGTAGTACAGTTTTTTCATAGCAAGATTGAGATGCATCAACGGATTCCCCAGTGCAACAGGGATCTTACACCTACATCCAAGGGTATTCAGCATGAAGCACCCCTGTGGACGACCCAAGCCCAAGCCAGGATCCATGTGGTGACAAGAGCTCCAAGCGAGTACAAGCCACCACCAAAGTGTCGTCCGACTGCTACTCGGCGAATGACTGCGAGGGTATGCTTGAGAGCTTTTATCCCGGATCTGAAGTTTATGGTGGAGTGCAGGCGTCTGATTCTCAAGAACTATCGTTCAAGGCAACTGTGAATAGATAAAGTGTGGGTTGAACTCAGGTGGTAAGGTGGTACACCTTAGACGGCGAAACTGGAAAGACTGTGTTGTAGTCAGGTAGAGAGATCTACTCAGGCCTTCTCGAGCCCCTACATCATCTTCTGTGTCCTCCCCTGCATCCCATGCAATAGAAACCCCAGCATGAAGCCACTCTCCACTCCAAAGCCCCCAAGCCTCACCCAAATCAGGTGATCAACAACTACCTGGGTGGGGGCCTCAGTCCTGGCAGGCGTGAGTTGAGGATGCGATTCGAACAGCCCAGTAGAATTCCAGAGGTGTTTCTTCCACCCGAATCGAAAACTCTCAAAGCAGTCTGAGGGGCTCGCAACCCCAAATACACAAATCAAGATTTCCGAGCTCCAAACAAGTTCGTATCAGTCATGCACATGTAATAAGTGATAGCTGTTACAGTGAAAAGGTAGTTGCATGGCGCAGAGATGGCTGCCCAGGAGACCTCTCAACGCTGGAGGTCTGGTGGGATTCGTGGAAGAGGTGCCAACCTGAGAATGGCTTTACGCTACTCTGCCCCCTCGAAATCCCGGAACCCGTGTTTTTTTTTCCCACCCTCGCAGTGGGGTTGTTAGATTTTAAAGTACATGTTGTCCTCGCCCGACTGGAAGCTGACTTTAGTGACCAACCACAAAGTATCCCTGCAGTGCCCAACCACCAAGTATCCCTGCAGTGCCCAACCAAAGAGTATCCCTTCAGTGCCCAACCACCAAGTATCCCTGCAGTGCCCGACCAAAGAGTATCCCTGCAATGCTTAACGGATGTGCCCAACCGCAACGTATCCCTGCAGTGCCCAACCACCAAGTATCCTTGCAGTGCCCAACCAAAGAGTATCCTCGCAGTGCCCAACCGCAGAGTATCCCTGCAGTGCCCAACTGCAAAGTATCCTTGCGGTGCCCATCTGCAGAGTATCCCTGCAGTGTCCAACCACCAAATATCCCTGCAGGGCCCAACCGAAAAGTA